TTACACCTTTTCTTGTCTTCCAAGGGATCTTCTCAGATTCCTGTGTCAGAGAATTCGTAGGCTGGATCGTATTCAATAGGAACAATTATTCTGTTTCACCAAAAGGACCTGAAAATAAGTTGTCAACCTGACAACTAGTTAAAGTTGTTAGAATTTCCAGGTAGATAAATACAAAGTAAAAAATTACTAAGCTCCTGTACTAACAGATTTGCTTTTGAGTTGGTTTTTTTTTGTTTGTTTTTTTTTTGTTTGGTTGGTTTTTTTTTATTTACCCGGCTTTACATATCCCTTAGATGAAAAGATTTTTAAGACTTTTAAATTAACTTGACTCGTGGAGGTGTTTTGCCTAAATCAGTAGCAAAGTAGACTTCAAATTGTTCATAGATAGGTATTTATTCTCCTCTAAATGTTGTCAGCAGGGAATTACTTTCTTTTATAGGAAGTTTATATTAATATTTAAGGGAATTTCAGAGCTTCTGTTCATTAATTGTAGAATATGCCCAAGTGCCTATGAAAAAAATGATAATGGTATTGATATTTCATCCTGAAGGGTCTCAAAACAATTTACAGATTGGTAGTATAACCACACTGAAATACACCCAGCTTCTTGGTGGAACATGGCAGCTGTTTAATAGCCCATAGCAAAACTATGCAACAGCAGGTTGTGCAAAAAGAGATGAATATGGATCAAATACAAATTGGCAGTGGAGGATTTAGGTACTGTGCTCTAATTAAAGTTAGGTGAAGTGGAATTCCACTAGAATACTGAGTCTGTGTATGGAGTGCTACACTTTATCTGACCACAGCTCCTGGTACCAGGCCCCGTGCTTAGTCCATGTGAAAGACAGGCAGAAGGCTGTTAGCTGAAATGTACTCCCTATGGATACTGCAGACCAGTGTTTGACAAACAAATTTAATTGTGAACACTTTGCTGCTTTCACTTGCAGAGGGGCTTATTAAAAACATTTGATGTTAAAATGGGTGCCTGGTGGGGATGTTGGGCAGATGTGGCAATAGGTTTTGATGGGGGTGGCAAAATTTTTGGCTTGACTACTTAGTTTTAGTAATTATTTTTTAAAGAAAACTGAATGCTACTGGAGGAAGCTGTGTTGCTGGAAGCTGCCCAAGTTGTGATGACTGAGAGGTGGGTTTTTCTAAATGTCGAGTATTAATGTGGTAGGAAAAAGATGCTGCCCAACAACAATTCCCTTAGATCACTGTCAGCTTGAGAAGAATTTTGACCTGTAACTAAGGCTGTATGATCTATAGTTCTAACACTTCCCATTGCAACTTGTTTTTGACACTTCTGATGTAATACATCTGCAAACCTTTATTTGCTCTAACAAAGCGTATAGGGGTCTAAAAGCACCAAAGCTCTCTGCAAAATATGCCCGATTTAAAAGGAGCTAACATGACTTTGAACTTTTTCAAATGCTTTAGTATACACATATGTATTTATTTATTTATTTGGATAATTGGGTTTTCCCTCAGCTAAGGAAAAGCTGGTGTTGCTGACATTACAATGTGTTTGTGAAGAAAGACTGATACCACAGCACACGCAAGCAACTGCAAGGTCATTACTTACCCAGCATAATTAGAACATCCATTCCAAAGGGTGGAAACATTTAAAAGATAAAGAGTGAATTTAAAAATGATTCTTCCCAATGCATTTTTTTCATAATTATAGTTTTAACAGCTTGTGGTGATGGTAGAATCAGCTACTTAAGAAAAATTAGATGCCTCATTCAGGGAAGATGATCCCTCAAGAGACCTTGTGTTGTCATTCCTTAAGAACCTCGAGCAGAAACCTCATTCTGGATGCTGTGTATTGTTTTGATGTATAGGGGGTATACATAGCTTATTATGGCCAATGCTGGATATTTTAATTAAAAACAGAAGAATAACCACAGATGTATTGTTTTCCCCTCATTCTTTCCCTTGTCTTGTGCAAAAGAACAAGTGTAGTCCCAGCCCTGCAAGGAAAGAATACCATGGCAGCTAGGCAGAAAAAAAGCAGTAGCTTTCCTAAATTCACATGTGACATATCTTAGCATCAAAATTCTCATTGCGGCACACAAACATTTTGCAGTTCTCTGAGCTTTCTGTAGTTGCCAAAGGGAGGTGGGACATAAAGAGGAAAAACAAAGCAAAACAAATAACCAAGCCAGTCACCACATTTAATTTATGAGCAAGATTATTGTTTTACAAATAACCTTCATGATAAACAAGGTCTCATGGCAACATTTTCAACTGTGCTTTTATCAAGGCTCTCTGAGCAGCGTGTGTAATATGCCTGGCAATCGAATCACAGCTGTGTGCCTGGGTAGGGAATCTCTGCGGAGACAACACTTCCTTAATTTAAACAATTGTAGGCTGCAGGATTTCAAAAATTTCAGCTGACTTTAACTGTCACTAGCCCAAGCACCTTTATCCCCAGGCGAGCAGCAGCAGCTGGATTTCATTTCCTGCTGCCAGACTGTCCGACATCTTTGCTGAACATCCCGGGAACAGAGCGTCTTTACTTTAAGGATTTTATTCAAGGTGACAGCTCCTCACACTTTAGCGTTCAGATCACCTCAAGTAGCTGAGATATCAGTGAAAATGAGAGCACTTCTCCAGCAAACTCCAAATTTAGATTGACTGAGGTTATCCTTAGGCCTCTAGACCCAGCCTCCATGACAGCACAGGCCTGCCAGTAACTTTAAAACTACAGTGGAGTTTGTAATGATGTCTGGGGAGAAATATTCTGCCAGAGCAGTGGAGGATACTATAAGCGATAGGAAATGATGTCAGATTTAGTTAGGACTGGAGACAGTGTTAGAATATACTTGGCATAATATGGCACCGGTATCTCTGTCAGCATCTCTGTTTTCTGTCACCGCACACAATCCCAGGCCTGTCTGTAGCCCTGACAGTGTCTTTTCAGATCAGGTTATTGCCAACTTGGAGACTGGCTCAGCGCAGCACCATACAGCCCCCTTTGTTTGAAGTCTGCCCTTTTGTCATTAATGCACTCGATGTCTATTTAAATCTGACGGTGAATACAGTATCTGTTTTCCTGTCAGGAGATCATTGACAATATTAATACCTCATGTCCTTGCCTCATTTTCTAAGCACTGACACCTAGCTATAGTCTCCAGCATTCATCAAACAGCACTCTCTCACCAGTATCTCTATAAACAGTCTTGCTTCCTTGCAGTCCTTAAGAAATGCAGTAGACCTCAAACAAGACTTTTATCACTGCCAGTGAAAAAGGAGTGCAAAGAATGTCGTTAATAAACTGCTCATATCCTTTGCATTTAGAGCTCTAAATGGCCTTGTTACCAACATGGGATATCTGTTTAGGGAAAGAGAAACTTGGTCTTCATTAGACTCTTGTTTAGGAATGCTGTTATCATCTTTTGCATGTGGAAACCGCCTCAGTAGTGAAATTATTGAAATTGAAATTATTGAAGAAAGCTCTGTGCTGGGGGTGGGGGGGGGAAATGATCAGGCACTGCACCATTTGTATTATCCTGAAGAGGAACATTTCTCACAACAAATGACAGGTCTATCAATTTCCCCACCCCAGCCCTCAGTGGAACGTGTTGCCATCATGGTGTCCTAGAGAGGAAGAAGAGCATGTGTTAACATTAATATCTCGTGACCCATGCCTTCCCAAGATTTAGTAGATTATCTTATGTATCTTTTCTGTATCCAGACATTATACTGGAAAACAATGGACACAGAATATAAAAGCTTGCATAGTTAATTCATACTGCAGGTGGGCACAGCAACGGCTGTATGAGCTCTGGAAATCTAAAACAAGAAAGGGCTGAGGATCTGCTCCTCCCCTTTCGTTACCCTTGATGTAAGGCAGTGTTCGTCTCCTTTGGGCTAGGTTGTGTTTGCCCTTACAGGGGTGAGCTGGATAGTTCAGTGCTCTGGTAAGACACTCTCAAGGCAGAGGAGACCCTTCCACCTTCTTTCTGCTCATGGGAGATGACTTTAATTTGACTATACATGTCTGAGGGCTCAAAGAACAGCTCTGCTAGTAAAATTTAGCATCTTTGAGGATGTTCACAGGTGGGATGTGACTGTGAACTTACACATTCACATACCTCTTAGTACCACCAGAGGGGATGCTTTTGAATACGGTAGTGAGATTATTTGCAGGTATGTGTGTCTCACCCACAGCAGTTAAGGCTTCCTGAGGCATCTTTCTGCCAGTACTCACTGTGAATAATGTGCCTTGCCTCCCAAAACCAGTATTATGGCTAATTATTGAAAGCATCCTGCACATGCCAATATTTAGCATAATTAAATTATATCTTGCTCATGGGATGTTGCAATGTTTGGAGAGATACTTTGGAAATGTTTTTATTAAATATTTGTTTGTATGTGTAAAAATGCAGGAGTCTGGGGAGGCCAACTGTTCTAGCCCATGTCTGTCAATGGGTTCCCATGTAGATTTCAGCCACTCACTTCGGTTCTCTGTCACTGAAAACAAGGATGGTTTAGGTGCTTGCAGTGTGACTTGGGGGAAGTTTGACAGGTTTTTCCAAGATCCACATTAAACTGGAATTATTTGCTTTATATTATTATTTTGGTTTATTTTTCTTTTTGGTTTCATTCATCAGGAAAACACGTAGCAGGATGTTAGCAGAGAGCACAAAATATAAGTCCAACCCAAACTTTCTGGTTTTTTTAGAAGCAGGAGAGAGATACTGTGATTTAAAACCCACTGTATGATGTTTCAGTGTTATGCAGGTCTAGTTTTGAAGACACTTGTGGATGTACTTTTAACAGGATAGGTCATGTAGGTATTTGACCACATTTTTCCAGTGGGTTCAAAACTGCTGATTGAAATGGCAATACTGAATATGTGAAATGCACAAACTTTCTTTTGCAGGACAAGGGAAAACTGCTCCTTTCCCTCCTTCAAATTGCCCAAGTTATGTGCTTCATTGCATATTATTCTACTTCAATCCTAACTGTAATTCATTTCCTTTTTATTGTAGGCATTTTGGGGAAATGTCGCTACATTTACTATGGAAAACACTCCGAGGGCAACAGATTCATCCGAGATGACCAGCTATAAAACACAGTGCTGTTTTGTGCCTCTTCAGTCCCTCCACATGAGAAGCACAAATCACATCTACATTTTAAGCATGTAACTAAAGTCCTCTAGTGCCTTCTGCTGACTTTGCCAAGCCTGTCAAGATCATCCTTCTATCTTAGTCTGAGTAGTCACATAGAGATTGACATGATTGCCTTTAAGCAGGTCCCATCCACCAGTGTGACAGGCAGCTGCAGCCAAGCAGCCGGCCTGACAGGAGGAGCGCCGTGATGGATTGCCTGGTCTGAGTGCTGCTCGCAGGAGAGCAGGGGTCACACCTGGGGCTGGACTGAGCCTGCTCCATCCGTGGCGCCTCCGCAAAAGCACCGCGTTTATCTCTGCCTGGCCTGTTGAGAGAAAGTGGATGCTGATATCAAAGTGTTTATAAAAGAGAGAGGCTTTAATTTCAGATGAAAAAGCCCTTATCTGTTCTTATTTTTTTCCCTGTGAATTAAGTGCTTGTGTTTCTATCATCTCATACATGCTTACACAAATCCTTTCACAGTTTGGTGGTACACTCATCCACCCCCAAATGGATTCTTTTTCCTTTCAGCAGGGAAAAATATATATCCTGAAAACATTTTGGCCATGCAAAGCACTGTCAATTGGTATGGATGTTTATATGCAAAGGAAAAGGATTTAAGCAATTTCCCAAACAAATTTTTCTAATTCTTGAATGGCATCTCATCGTTTACTAGCTCTTACCTTCAGAAAAGTGAACATTTCTTTATGCTGTAAAATCATGTCATAGCTTAACTGTTTACACTTGGAAGAAGTCCTCATTAGTGATGTTGACAGTGTGTATTATTCTTGGTTTATTGCACAAGCTATTTTTAACTTGTAGGGATTACGTTTAGAATTAAATGCTTAAATTTGGGGAAAAAACTGCTTAAAAGGAATGATATGAATCTGCCACCAGATGGGTATGATTATTCAGAGAGGAGAAAAGTCAACAAAAGTAACTGGTGGAATTGAAATAGTTAGCAGCTTTACTAATATATTAGAGAGATGAGTTCTGAATAATCCTTTTTGATATCTATGTAAGAAAGTCTACTCTCAAATTTTCAGTCAAAAAAATAAAAAGGCATAGCAAAGTTCCTGCTTTTCTGATAAAGAGGTTGAACATATTCACAATCATGAACTTGTTGCTATGGAAAAAAAAGTCCCATACTTTATGCATTAAATTCTACTTGATACAATGGGATTGGCCAAGGAATATGCAAAAAATTCTGACCTCTGTTCCAAACCCATTCATATGGATCCCAGTTGAGAGCTATCAAGCTGCCAAGCCGTTCTTGGTTTGTTTGAAATTACTTGGTGGTCTTTATTCACTTTCCTGGTTAAAAAAAATACCAGTTTTTAGAAACTGTCTACCTTGGGGGCTTTTATTAGCTGGAATCACAGGTGGAAGTGAACTGGACATGGAAGCCAGTCGTGAAGGCAGATGTGACATGAAATAGTGAGGCATTGGCTGAGTGCCGAAGGAAAGCTTGCTGCTGCTCAGCATTTTAGGCCTCACTTAGTAAACGGAAGCCTTTGCTCACTCTGAAAGCATATAATAAATCTTTGACAGATACTTAAAATCACTGATGAGCATAGAACGATCTAGTTCACACCAGTTGTAGTTCAAATTGAGCTCTGAACTGTTTGATTGGTGTCTGGAAAGCATGTTTTAGCCACTTGTCATGCTTCTTCTAATGTCATATATGACTACAAACGAATTCACATTACAAGTCCAGGGAGATACCAGATAAAGGAAAACTACATGCCTTTTTCTTTAATAAAAGATATTAATAGAAATATTTAGGGCACTTGTCGTCTGTTTTGGTTACCAAAATAACAGCAAGCTTAGTTTGTTCCTATCATGATGTCTGTTTTGAAGACTCCACACATTTTGGCTATGGCAATGTTACAGGCAGCAGGATTTGGAATAGGGGTGTTTAGAATAACCTAATGTCACTTTCAGTCTGTTTCCCTATATGTTCTTGTCTTTATAAAAGGCTTTAACCCTGCCTCAAACAATAAACAGCACTTGCAAACTGACCGCATGATTTTTCCATCTTTATTTTGCTTGTTTACTTTTCCTAATGTCAAAACCATTTGTATCATTTTCAGGAGTGTTTTCTTCCTAGCAAAGCTTTGGAGGCAAAAATATTTTTGGAATGAAATTTGAACAAATTCTCTTCCACTTTGGATTTTGTTTTCACTTGGGGGATTATAGACCTAGAATTAAATATGGTAAAGCCCTAATTAAAAACTGCTTAAAAGGAAATTCACACTAAATGTCTCTGATTCTGGAAAATCCAAAAGAAAATCTGTGAATAATTATATGCTATTACTAACATATTAGGATATTATTTTAAAACATGCATGGATGTGAATTACTGTTTATGCAAACATCTTTTTTCTTTTTAAATATTCAGGGCATTTTTTTGTCAGATGTATTCTGCTGAAATTCTGGTTCAAGAGATGGTAGAATTTTCACACCTGGAGTTGCTACCTATACTTGGTTCTTTCCTAAATGGGAACTGTGCCTGAATTTCTTAAGTGAACTATCATTTAGGATGACTGTAACAGTAGAGTAATCTAGGAAGAGATTCCACTCTCTTTCCTTTGCTCCTCTTTCTCCATATGTGGCACATTTTTGCCTCTCAAGATTAACTAGGCTATTAAAAGTAAAATATTTTCCTACAAAGTTAAAAAAATTGAAAATATGTATATTTCAAAGGAACCACTCCAGTTTTAGTTCTTTGTGTTGAAACAAGAAAAAATTGGCCAACCATGTTTCTTGGCAATTAAAAACAGAGATCTGAGGTATCCTTGAGTAAGTAATCTTCAAATACTACAAATTTAAAAAAAAAATTGTTCAAAGTTCAAACTTCTTTGGTTCAGTCTTGAGATGACCTTTGCCCTTTGTCAGACATCACATGTCTTCACAAAGACTAGGAGGCAAATGTTTTTACTAGGAGATGCCTATAGAAGCTATGCTTACTACATTTCTAACATTCATGTATTGAAAATGTTAATCCTTAACCTTAAAATTAAAAACAAGGAAAAGATCCAAACTAGAAATTCACTTCAACGTTACAAAGATAAATGACCTTCAGTGAAAATCCTGCTGTTATGGATACACAAACCTAACTTTAGAGCACATTGGCTCTAATTGAATCTGTTGCATGCATAAATGATTTATGGGATTGCTGAAAGTATGTCACCACTGAAGCCACCTTTTTCTCCTTTCTTAGGGCTGAGTCTCACACTACTTACTCTAGTATTTGCCTTACTCAAACTGTGAGTCTCTTTGAAGTCAGTGTGCTAGCCATGAAAATTAGAGTTACTAAGTTTTGGAAGGCTGATAGGCAGCCCTTTTAAATACATTTGTTCTTTGAGCAGATCATTACTTGATTGCTGAGTGTTTGATTCTTACATCTTTACAGATGAGAAATCACTGTGTGCTGGTGTACCATTGCTCCCATTTAAGACAGAAGAAAGAAAAAAAACCTGTCTATGCTTTTGAAAATGCTTTCTGTAAATTACAGGGTCCATTTGCTGGCAGTGGATGTATTAATATTTTTTATTCCTGCCAACAGTATGAGTATGTTGGGAAATGTTTGCCCCCAGCAGAACTTTGCTGGACGCAGCCTTTGTGGTGAAGTTCTGAATCAGCCCATTTTATACTGACTCACATTGAGTCTTACCACATATTTCTTCTTAATGTGGTGTGATAGTTGGCACATGAATCCCTGCTTGCCCACTTTGGGAAAGTTTATTGTCTTTATTCTGTAGATCAGTCTGTCTTTTTGCTTTGTTGAATGGTTGGCACATGTGAAAGACACAGATGAAATTCAGCTTTCCAGAGGTGTAACCAAATAGCCAAATTGACTCTTCATGTTTGACATGGATATCTAAGTATCCATTTGCAGGCTCAGTACGCAGAATCTTACAGTAAATCAAGTGATCAGAAGTCAGAGGTCTTGCATGGCCTGCTAGCTGCTGTCCTCTGTTCCTAAAGATCTCTAGCTGTGTCCTTGTCTGCTTGAATTGCCATCTCATTGCACTGCAAGCGATGGCACAAAATAGGTAAATGCTCCCCTTTTGTTTTAAAGTGAAATTTCTGCTTCTCTGCCCATAGTGTAACAATTGAAATGCAGAGTTTGCTTTTTCAGTGGTTTTATATGTACACATGGTAAGTGTTACATCTCACTGGCTAGTCTTTTTTCTGGCATTTAGTTAAAATCTGTTTTCCCCAGTCTTTTCTGCTCCTAGTAATGGGAATAAAACAAGCAACATACAATTGTGAGAAAACAAGCATTTAAAAATATCACTATGGGACCATGCCTACGCTAACAACTGTGGGACAGGTGAGCATTGTTATTTACAAACAAGCTAAATGGATTGAGAGACCAAGATCCTGATTTGAAGATTTAGAGTTAGCCTGTGAATGTGAACAACTGATAGAGCCTTTGATTTGCTTATGCCACTCTTCCAGCATTAGCTGGTTAGAGAAAGTTGTCTTGCCTGAAATGAGTTAATGCTCGTTTTCCTTCTAAAATTATCCAAATACCTTACCAAGGCCTTGGATTATATGAGAGCTAGGCCTGAGAAAAAATGGCTTCTTCCAGTGATTTATAACCTGCTCTTAAGAAGTCTTAAGAGTATTTTCTTTGGCATTTGCTATGTGAGAACATTCAGGATATATTCAGCACTCCTACTTCATCAGAACTGGCTGAATTAATATATTTTCCGTATGCAGTTCTAAAGCAGCTGAATCTTTCTAAAAGTTACCTTTTAGGTTAGGTGACTCTGACGGACTTGCCTCTGGTGGTGTTGTCAACCTGAAGCTGACCCTTGCTTAGAGTTGCTGACAATTAGATTAAGGTTTCAGATCAGGATTTTCACAAGCCTTCAAGGAGCAGATATTTTTAAGGACAAGCTAAGTCATGGTCATGGCACATTCACAAAATATCATCATCATCTCAGAATCTCAGCATTTTAAGGAAAACCGCATCTTGGAAAATATGTTTAGTTCTAGCTTCATTGTGTTCAAAGGCTTTAACATAAAATATATTCTGCCTTTTCACTTTACATGATATTTTTAGGCTGTGAGAGCAAGTTTCTAAATGTGTTCAAAACTTCCTTCAAAACAAGTGTAAAATCTCTTGCAAACATTTTGCATTTTGATTGAAACTTTTGCTGTCAATTCAAAACCAAACCGTAAAGTCAAGGCTGGGGGGTCTTTAACCTAGTTTAATCTTAATCTACAACTTTTATAACAGATCACTGAACTCTCATCCACAATTCCTCTTACAACAGGAACACATCTTAGTGGTATTATAGCTTTATAGTAAAATATATAGGAAGGAACGTGTTTGAAAATATCAGTATTGAATGTAAGATTTAACTCAGTATTTTATTTGGAAATAAAAAGGAGCTTCACAGGATCTCTTCAGATCATACTCTGCAGAACATAAACGGCAGAAGTGTGCAGCTTAAGAGATTCCACCTTACTTTTACAACTAAATTGGGAAAATAAAATAAAGAATATGAAGGTAACCAAAAATTATATTACTGACTTTGTTTTTATCTGCAATTGCCTTCCTACTTTTAATTTAACACTGTTTTTGCAGTTGAGTATTTAAGATTAACTGTAGGAAAAACAAAGACAGAAGATTTCATATGACAATCTACTTATTCATTTCATAGGTTTCTCTGATTTTTTAAGACCTTTGGAGCAATGTGAGTGCTCAATTAGCTGGCATTGTGTTTCTAGCAAGTAAGCAGACAGTTATGGACTTTGGGGAATTTTCAAACACACATGCTGTTCAACCTTAGCAATTTTCTTTTACCTAGGAATTGTTTTCAGAAATTCCATTATAATGAAATTTCTGTTTAAGTTGATAGCTGTAAATGAGGGCACAGTTGCTTCATTTCCTTTTGACAATAAGCCAAATTCATCCCTGGTGGAACTCCATTGATTTAACTCTACTTGAGCTAAGTTACACTGGGGATGAATTTGACCCAGCTTGAGATTTTTTTTCTATTCATCTTTTCTTTAATTTCCTTTAGCTTAGTAGTCACTTTAGGGCTGGACAGAGAATTACAATGCAAGAGAGGGGAAAAGCAAAACTTCTCTGCTCAAGAGTCATTTCCTTTTTAATACCCTACTGATTTAGCCATGACTTGTAATGTGTTTCAGGTAGCCAAATTTCAACATCAATTTTGGAAGGAAGTTCACTATACTTTGAGTCTCTTTCCTTGGCTACTTCCCAAACCACCAAATCACCACCTACTATACAATGCACGTATTATAAAAGGCAGTGTTAATGTCAGTGTTCTGGGAATGGATCTGGATAAACTGCAGTTGTCATGTGGTGCCTGATATGGTTAACTGGAGCTCTGCTGATTACACCCCTCTGTCCAGTACTTCAGATGGTGGTGGAGCTTTCAGATCTCTACATCTGTAATGTCCAACCTATCTTCCCCCAAACCACTGCTTGCCATGCCTGGCTTTCTGCAAGTCTTGCATGGTTTCTGTCCACATGGTAATCATGCCAATCTTTTTTCTCTTTTTTTAATTTTTTTTCTTAGAAGTTCAGGGTTTTGTGTGTTCACACCCAGTAAGTTTCAAGTTTGAGCAAAAGCCGAAAGCATCATTCAGCCAAAATCTCTGCTGAGCTGTATGTGGTTTTCATCTGAAACTGTAAATCCACTGTGTTCACTGAGGTTTTAGTAAAACTGGCCTGAATGTCAGACCTCTAGCAGCTCTCCCAAATCAAGCTAGTTCTGGGTTTCATTACAAAAAGATTGCACAGCTCTAGCTAAGCCCTCATTTTCCACTTTCAGATAAATGCTTTTTCAGCTGTATTTATGAGGCTTAGCGTAAAAAAAACCCTACCAGCTGTTAATGTTAATCACAAGTTTATATCATAAGCACATTCTGAGTCTTATCCTCTTTCCATTCATGTCAGTGGCAAAGCTTTCAACATCAGTGGCAGTAGGAGCAAAT